TATATATATATATATATATATATATATATGGTATATATATATATTCGCTAAAAATGTCAAACTTTGAAGGTGCCGTTATCCTCCCCCCCAGACGTAACTACTACCTCCTCTCTTACCCATTTAATACTGAGCACTCTGGCATGTGTGCCCATTGGGCTGCATTTTGTTCCGTCTAAGGTACTAAGTATATTCATGTATGACCTATACATTGTCAACTTTTTTTTACCATGGTGTATGTCCTCAATCTCTTTCTTTTGGAGCGGGTGGTTAGAGGGCGCCACTGGTAGGTCTTACTTCTTTACTTTCTCTCTGTTGTTTCTATCTGTCTGTTTTGCTTTTTACCAGTACAAAAGACCATTATTGTGTCGCTGTGCTTCTCTTTATTCTAACAAACAACTATAATTCTCCTTGAAAACAAAGCAATAAAGTTGACAGCTATCCAATTTCCAGTTTCAAAATCCATTATAGACAAGTCTACACTCACATTCAACAAACTGTTTGTTTTTGATAAACATGGACTGAAAGGGAAAGGCGGCTCTTTCGTCAATGAACTTGCACCTAATTCCTAGGGTACTGTAGTCACAAATCTCAGGTAAGAAAGAATAACATGTAAATAATTATGACAACCTTTGTATCGCCGGGGCACGCTTTTGCATTGCATTATATAAGAACATAATAATCAAACCTCGCTCCCCCCGTCTCACCCTCTCTTTCCGCTCCCCCCCCCCTCTCTCTCTCTCTCTCTCTCTCTCTCTCTCTCTCTCTCTCTCTCTCTCTCTCTCTCTCTCTCTCTCTCTCTCTCTCTCTCTCTCCCCACCCCCCAAAAACAACAACAAACAAACAAACAAAAAACAACCAAACAACAACAACAACCAACAACAGCAAACGACACAGTAGATCATTTCATGCTGTCTAATAATTGTGCCTAACCTGTGTTTGGTCCTGGTATCGACACGATGCCGGCGTCGCTTGCTTGCCGTAACTCTCCCATCGCACTCCTCTGGTGACACACAGTGACGGATCAGCAACGCTTTTGATCTGTCCAGTAGAAACAATAGCTAAAATTAAAAATCAAAACAACAAAAACAAAACAACAACAGCAAAAAACAAATAAACAAACAACAAACTTTGTTTGGCCCACTGCTTGTAATTGACTTGCACATGCTTTTGTTGTTTCTTTGAGCTGGTCCAAATGAGATTTTCAGTTACTGTCTAGTATTATATAGAATCTAGGTGTCAAAGTAAAGGCCCGTGGGCCGCATCTGGGTCGACGAACAATTTTATTTGGCCCTTAAGAAAACTAAAGGTAGCCCATCTTGAGAATCTCTGTAACACAGAACCGTGAACGAACTTGCTGCCAAGTGACAAACTGGCATAAGAGCGAAATTCGTATGCCTATATCAATAAATTTTATTTTAACTTTTGTTGGTTTTGATTCAAACTACAGTCAAACCTGTGTAAGACGGCCACCCATTGTCAAGGAGAAAAGTGGCCGTATAAGACAGGTGGCCGTCTTAGGCAGGACTGATCAAGATAAAGAAAACAAACCATTCCCATCTGAGGCCCCAATCGAAAGTAGCCCCATTATGTTGTCTTTGTTGGTGTTGTTGGTGTTGTTGTTGTTGGTTTGTATTTTGTTTGTAATTTTTATTTTGTCGCTGATTTTGCAAAATGGTGACAATAAAACGAAATGTATAAGACAAGGAAGACCGAGTGCCATGTTAAAACAAACACATGGGTCGGAGAACGAGCAACGCTTCTGTAACAAGTTCATGTTGACGTCCATTGTTACTTTGTTTCAGACTAGGTAAACAGTGACCACTCATCTCACTTACGATTTGTGTATGAATTCTGGGCGTGGCTTATGGGTTATGAGGGATCACACGCTTACCTCACCAGCAGCTGAAAATTGGTAGCTATTGGTCAACAGGGGGAGGGGTCTACGCAACATGATCGGTTGGAGGGACTACCCACCAACAACGACAGGTGATTGAATTATGACGGCTCGCCCACAACGCCAGGGGCCAATGCACAATTTATGACAAAACGGAATGGAGTCACTAAGGTGACCGTCTTAGACAGGTATTATTGCTTAGTATGATAGGGGTTGTGTGTTAAATTATGGTGGCCGCGGCCGC